TTTGAAATTTGCTGCTCCATCAAAAAAAACATTCTCCAACCATCATAGGATTCTGCAATGTGTTCTCCTATGAATGATACCTCCTTGTCAGGAAAATAAGTTTTCAGAGGTTCGTATTCTCCATCCACGGGATTTTCAGCAAGGTGATCTACTAGTGCCTGTCCCTTGATCGCTTTCTGAGTTACGTAAACAATGTCAAATTCACTCAACAGGATTTGCCACTTGGCTAGCTTGTCGGTGGGCATGGGCTTCTGAAAGATGTACTTCAAAGGATCCATCCTTGATATGAGATATGTGGTATAGGCACAGAAATAATGCCTCAGTTTCTGAGCTACCCAAGTCAAAGCATAACAGGTGCGCTCTAACAGAGAATACCGGGCCTCGTACAGGGTGAACTTCTTGCTGAGATAATAGATTGCTTGTTCCTTTCTTCCCGTTTCATCATGTTGCCCCAGAACGCAACCGAAAGCTCGGTCCAACACCGCCAGGTAGAGTAATAAGGGTCTACCTGGCTCAGGCGAGACCAAGACCGGTGGTGTTGACAGGTATTCCTTGATTCTGTCGAAGGCCTTTTGATAGTCATCGGTCCATTTGGTAGCAGCGTCCTTCTTCAACATCTTAAAGATCGGCTCACAGATAACTATAGACTGTGCTATGAACAGGCTGATATAGTTAAGTCTTCCCAAGAAACTCATCACATCCTTCTTGTTCTTTGGTGGTGGTAGTTCTTGAATGGCTTTGACCTTTGATGGATCCAGTTCTATTCCTCGGCGACTCGCAATAAACCCCAGCAATTTTCCAGCGGGGACCCCAAATGCGCATTTCGCGGGATTCAGTTTCAGGTTGTATCTCCGCAATCTGTTGAAGAATTTCCTCAGATCTTCTATGTGATTAGTGGCCTTCTTGGACTTGATGATAACATCATCCACATATACCTCTATCTCCTTTTGTATCATATCATGGAAAATGGTGGTCATGGCCCTCATGTAGGTGGCCTTTGCATTCTTCAGCCCGAACGGCATCATCTTGTAACAGTACATTCCCTACGGCATAATGAAAGCCGTTTTCTCAGCGTCTTCTTCATTCATCTAGATCTGATGATAACCAGCGAAGCAATCCACAAATGATTGTAGCTCATGCTTGGCGCAATTGTCAATCAGGATGTGTATGTTCGGCAAAGGGAAGTCGTCTTTCGGACTGGCCCGGTTGAGATCCCGGTAGTCGACACAGACTCTGACCTTCCCATCCTTCTTTGGCATTAGCATGATGTTCGCTAACCATGTTGGGTATTCTACTACCCTGAGAACCTTAGCTTTGACTTGCTTAGTGACTTCTTCCTTGATTTTCAAACTCATATCAGGCTTGAACTTTCTGAGCTTTTGCTTTACCGGCGGGCATGTTGGATCGGTTGGCAATTTGTGAGCCACAATAGACGTACTCAGACTAGTCATGTCATCATATGACCAGGTGAATATGTCCTCATATTCCCTTAGAAATTCTGTGTATTCCTTCTTTTCTAATGGCGATAAGTGAACGCTGATTCGTGTTTCCTTGACGTTTTCTTCATCTCCCAGGTTAACAATTTCTGTCTTGTCCAGGTTGGACTTAGGTCTGTTCTCAAATTCCTCATCTCCTTTGACAATCTCCTCTGGTATGTCGTCTTCCTCTGAATCAATATCTGCTTGTTACGTTATCTCATTGCATGTCACAGTCATTGGTTTATCAAGATAAGTAATAGTAATGCTGTATAAGTAAAGTAATGAGAGAAAAATAATAATGAGTGCTGATTCTTAAGAAAAGTCGAAATGCTTTGATAAATTTCATAACTGTTTTGACCAATGAAGATCTTATTGCGGGAATTAAAATGCGAAAAGAAAGTCATTTAGTAAATAAAAACAGTGCATGATGCTTGTATTAGCCTTGCTACCCCGAGGCTCGTCGGGCTCTGGTTGTCCTGATGGTCCAGTTATTGAGGTATGCCCCTCTGGATCTTGTGGAATAAAATGATGTTGACAGAGTGCACGAACTAACATTTAGGGAAGGGAATAAAAAAATAAAACAAAAAGGTAAACAAGTTAGTGAAGATTATAGGAAGTATTACAATATTTAAACACGTAGTGCGGGAATGTAAATCGTGTCCTAATTTGGGGACCTCTGTGTGCCCGAGGTAGGCCTAGCGACAAGTTGATTTGGAGAACTTAGAATGCTAAATGCTTCATTTTATTGATAAAAATAGACGAATCCCAAAACGACACTAAATAAGCAAGAAATAAAATCACTAATGGCCATTGGCCTTATTACATTTTATAAAGCCCAAAGAAAAATTCCTATCTACTTGGTCCCAGAAGGACCTTCCCTAGATTCGGCATCCCTGGCTCCGGCGAACAGCTTTTCCAACTCGCAAAGTCCCAGTAATAGGTATTCCCTGGCTAGATGTCCGCCTTCGGTTCCTTCAGCATTTTTGCAGTCGGTGACTCTCTTCCTCACTTTTCCTTCCAATTCCAGCAGACTGTATTCCAGATATTCCAACTTTTTGCTAGCTTTGGCGGCTCTCTCTTTCCACTCATTGATTTGGTCATTTGATGGAAGACTCCTCCACCAGTCTAACAAGAGTGGGGGCGTGCTAATCATACCGAAGCTGGGGACCTCGTGCTTCATTTTCTGCAAGACAGATAAAGTTAGGCCCTTAACCCCACCAAGACTCGACAATTTAATATCAACAATTAGCATGAAGCATTTAGTTCTCCAAATAAATGCACAGAACATGGTGATGTCCGTTTGGGTTTAGGGCAACCCAGTGGACTTTTGGACAAGGCTATCTTAAAGGATCATTATGTGAAAAATATAACTGACCCGGCTAGGTTTGACCATGATGCATGCACAGTTTAAATAGAGTAAGGTTTCTATGAGGTGTTAGACTGGTACCCTTGAGCGGACAACTCAAGGGGGAAGGCTCGGAACTGTCGACTGCACCGCTGATCGACTAGTTTTACCGCAAATATGCCTTTCCGAATTTAGGGGGTAATGATATAGGAAAAGCGCAACCACTCATTGTAAGCGCTGCTATAGTATTTATTTTGGCACGAGTGGAGTATGATGTTGAGCATAATTATGCAATAATTAAAAAGAAATCATGTTGACATGTATTTGCACATTAAGAAAGCGATAAATACAGCAGTTTTATAATTTAAAGCAATAAAGAAAAGAAAACAAGGAAGACATGTCAGTTTTGCTTCTAAAGAAGAAATTAAATGCTGAAAGAAATTAAACAGATAATTCCACATAGAGAGAGGTACAAATTCACAAGAATAATCTGTAATGGTAAAAGCCTAAAAATCCCCAGCAGAGTCGCCATGCTGTCGCGCCCCCTTTTTCCCTCTTCGCATCGGGAGATCGGGTTTATGACATTTTGGGTATAGGACAACTCGTTCCTTTTGGGAATTGGGTTTTGCATTTGAAGAGTCGCCACCTAATGATTTAAGGTGCATTAGGACACCTACAAGGTTCACTTCTGAGTTTTTTTGATAACCAGAGATAGGGTAAGGGCTTGAAATTATCCCGAGGGGAAGGTGTTAGGCACCCCTCAGGATCCACTAGTGTGGTTCCCGGCCAGATAGTTCTTTGTGAATTTGGCACAATTAACAGATAAGGCTCAAATAATAGGGGATTTTAATACACAAATATTTGGAAGAGATAAAAAGCAAAATAGAACAATCATTAAAAGGCTGATTTTGAAAAGAAGTCTTAATTCTTTAAAGGAAAAGAAAGAGAGGGGAGGGGTCCTAGATTTATTTATAATATGGATCACATCAATGCAATACCCCGGTAATCACTCCTCAAAAGAGGGGCTACACGTGGTATTAGCGCACCGGTCATCATATCATATCTACCCTTCCCACCCCGTTAAGGTACTAAAGCGCGGATTGGTCTCGACCACTATTGCATGCTATACCCGTCCCATTCCTATCAGTCCTGGAGGCACTTAGGACTACTATTCCTAAAGGGAAGGGATATTAGGCTGATATTGAAGTTTCAAAGGTGAAAAAGCTAAGGCGACATACAAAAACACATAGGACTGCACGTTAAGGGGAATCACGTAAACAACTGAATGGCTCATGTATACCTCCTCAAGCAAAGCACATAAATAGCATGACTCAAACACAATCAGGGTCTGAATCTAAAGTACTAAGGCAAGGGGATTTAAGTTATTGAAGTAGACCAATTTATTACATAACTCAGATAAGAAGTTCGAATCAGGCCTGCCTGCTGGTCGTAGAAACTACTGATTAACAAAGGCAGGTTCAGTTTTTTATTATTGTTATCACCAAAGGCTTGCCTAGGTGTTTGGGCGAGATCCTATAAACGTGGTATCTACTACTGATTCGGAATGTGGCAAGGCAGCAACGATTATAACACTACTGAAAAATTGGCCTACGGTAACGGTTGGGAAACCGTTCCCATAGACTGTTTAACCGTTGCCATATAGATATGGGAACGGTTTACAGATCGTTCCATCAGCTCGCGTGGCAATAGGTCTATGGGAACGGTTCTTGTAACGGTTTGCACTCTCGGTGGTTATAGATGCATCTATCGCAACGGTTTTCCCTTTCTCTGTTGGAATGGTTATATTTTCCAATTGGAATGGTTAAAAACCGTTACTATAGTGTATATGGAACGGTTCTTAACCGTTACCATATTATTTAATGCAACACTTTTGTAAGCTATTGTTACGGTTATTTATGGATATAACAACGGTTCCTTTACCCCTATTGCAACGGTTTTATTTTTGTACGGGAACAGTTTATATGTTATTATGGAACGGTTTATATGACCTATCGCAATGGTTTGCATTGTATCATGGAACGCTAATTTGTGTCCTATTGCAACGGTTCTGGTAGGCTATTGCAACAGTTCAGTTGAAAAAAATAATATAGCCCCTATTATAAATAAATATTTATATATATAAATAAATAGATTATAATAACACTAAAATTTAAATAAATCATAAAATGAAACTTTTAATAATATAAATTATCCATCAAGCAAATAGTATCCATAAAGCAAATGTTCTACCCCAAATGCACAAGTTTAATACATTTTAAGAGAGTAATTACTTTCAAAAAGGTTGATAACAAAAGATTCCTATAGGACATTCATCTATAGCAATTCAAATTTCATCTCAAGTACGGTCTAGTTCTTCACTTTCATCATCTTCTTTGATTTTTTGATTTACTCCACCTACAAAAGAGGATAAATAAAGTCATTACTCTTCAAGAGGATAAACTAAGCCATAGCTTGAAAGAAAAACAAGTAAATCACCCCACCATCATTGAAAATATCATTACCAAGAGTTCTATCGTGAAAAACTTTTGGAAATTAACAAGCTGGATTAACAATTGTACCTCCGCATCAAAATTAGGATCATTTAGCAAGTATCACCACACTCAACAGAATAAAACTTCTAAGAACAAAACTCACTATAACCCAAATATTTCTCTTCTTAGAACCTGATTTTGAAGCCACATAATTAACCATTTTCATAATCTCAACACCATTCAGAATGGCGTTCTTCCTCATCGTACTACTTAGGTTAGAAGGATCAACGCTTACTAACATAAATAAAATTCTTTTTTTTGAGGAAGAAACAACAATAGTTGTGTACTGTAAATATAAGTTTCCTAATAGACAATTGGATCACCTCCACAAGGCCATAAAGAGCAGCACAACAAATAAACTTAATGGCAACAACCAACAAGCCAAAAAAGCAAGCATAATTTTCTCTCTGTTACTAAATTAATCAACACTTAGAAGAGTACAAACACTTAGAAAATGCAACCTAGCAAAGAGCTGCTTGGTCAACAAAATAGCATCATCACCAAACAAGAAAAAGTAAGTCAAAAATTAATCCTCCAGCAATAGAGTACAACTCAAGAAACCAAGACAGCAAAAAAAAAGAGAAAAAAATCACCACCAAAGCTAATCAACTGTAATACGAAAACCAACAATACATACAGCAGCAAAGGAACTGAAATCATAAAGTTAGCTTCAATTACCAGATCAAAAGCAGACAAAGAACCTGCTTCAGCTTCAGGCCACGTTTGGATAAAATTCCAAAATATTTAGCATCTTCATCTGGTAAAATTAGCTAGTTGAAAAGTTGGACTTCGATTGAGTTGACCAGTTGTAACATTTCATACATAAGATACCCAACTGATACCTACTAAAATATGCATAACATATTAGTCATATATACAATAAAATATAGTAAGTAGATTTTTTTAGTACCTCTACAAAATTTGGAAACATTATGACTGATTAAATGTAGAATCTGTGAGCTTTCTTTTTGTGTTTTCTTTTCAACCATCGATTTTGATATATTGAGATTCTCCATACGGATATCCTTACAAGCTGGTTAATGACCGTGACCGTCAAGACTCCAACACACTACGACCATCCCGACTTTTACTTCTTTCTTTTTTTAAAAATATGCTTCGTATCCTTCTGCATAATCGAGACATATTAACTAATGAAAGGAGGGAGTTTAACACCAACCCCAACAATCTTTTCTTTTCTTTATTTTCTTCTTTTCCTTCTTAAATATGCAATGCAAATGCTTCCTTGGGAAAACTGTTTACATCTTGGACAAACGTGATGCATCCCATTTGAAAGTTGGTCATTCCATAAACCTTCGCTATTATAAGTCTTCTTTTCTGTAGTATTTGACAAAAAAATTTATGTGGATTCATCAGCATATTAACATCTTTAAGTGAAATTCACATTTTGTCACTTTAATTTTTTAGAGTCTTCTCATCCCATTTCCATGACAAAATTTGATCTCTTTATTTTAAGAATATTACTGGCAAATTAAAATTAGTGATAGTTATTGCACACTAACCTTGAACAGACACATAAGTAGGCAAGCACAAAGCTTACTTTAATGCCGGCTCTTCCCCGGAGCTTGCGCATAGCGGGAGCTTAGTGCAACGGGCTGCCCTTTTTTTACTTCAATTGAAGCTTGCTCGATTTGCAACTGGTTGGAAGAAGGGGAAGGGAAATATGCTTGAGATAAAGCATACGAAGATTGGTTGTGCGGGAGGGCGCAACTCGAAACACACAATTATATACAAAATGAAGAAGGGTAAATTATACAAATAATGCAAATAGATAAATCTGGATCATTTGTGTCAAGACTATTGACTTTGGTACTAAAAGATGGACAACATTTTGGATTATTGTCTAATTTAGAGTCTTTACCTGAAAACTAAAATAGGAATGTCGTTCTGGATTATCGTTTTGAGCAATGGAAGAATATTAATATTTCTATCTGTATCACCGTAATTTAGCACACTGCCATATAAGTAACAAGTAATTAGTTATAATCTGCATGTTCAACCAAGGTTTCAACTTTCTAAAATGGCAGTACATCATAAATGTAAATTAGTTACTATGGATGTTATGGTTCAATGTGGACTTGATATTTTGCAGACTTACATGTTGTATCGACCAGCTATAAGGCAAGTTGGTCCTAATTGCATGAAAGACGCTTTCTGAACCTCCGGAAGGTTTAAATTGAAGCGCCTTTCATAGATCAATACCACTTTATAACACTTGTACTCATCTTAGAAGCCTGCAAAGGAGAAAAGACTATTAACTTCCAACATAATAATATATCTAAAGAGTTGAGTAACGAAACAGATCAAATACCATATTCCTAAATCGCGGCTCTTGTTCCACTACGGATGGATAACACATATTAAGAATTACATCATAATTAGTTATATATTCATTAACAATTTTGTTCGCTTCAAATATGGCATCATTGCATATATGTGAAAATATTGTGTGAACTATCATAGGTATAATCGCCAAAGTCACAGTCGCTCATCATTGCTAGGCCTACTTCAATCATCTATGAGACCAAAGTATTCATAAGTTACTGGAACATCACGATCAAGTCTCAGCCGTGGATTCCTCTGACAAAGTAATAAAGTAGTTTAACAAGCTTTACAGTCAGAAAAACTCTCTAGAATATGAAGAAAAGGAAATCAGCAAGGACGCAATATGAGGGGTATAGTTTGCTTATTACAACTCCTTTAATGTTGAACTTGTATTATGTTGAATGCTCATTACGGTCTAGAAGAACAACTAAATGTGAAATGCAATACCCTGAACAAGAAAAGGTAAACGACATAGCGTGGGGGAATATTCCTGGCAGAAGAGAAAGTCATAAGAGAAATATCAGAAAAGAGCCACAAATTTCCTTTGAGACAGGCAAAATAAAAAACACTGGCCTTCTTTCCTAGATGGTAACCACAAATCTTGTTAAGCATAGTCCCAACACTAAACCTTAAGCCGGAGGGACCAGTTAAAGGACAGCTAAATGAAAATAATAAGAGGTCGAGCACCTAAGTCGAACAACACGTTTCCGTAGTACCCATCTGGATAAGGCACTAACATTTTTTAAAACCAAAACCTACAATTCTTTTCAACGATTCAGCAAACATTACAAAAATATACAATACTCATACCTTTGAAAGTTCAAAATCAGAACACAAGGAAAAGCTAAATAAAAATAAGTAATGGATGAGCATCTAAATCGAGCAACATATTTTTATAGTACACCTCTGACTAAGGATCTGTTATTCCTCAAGGATCAAAAACGATTAAAAAATATATAATCTTTATAGCTTTGATAGGTCGAAATCACAATAGAAAATAAGGAATCAAGAAGAATTCTTACAAGAACATTGTCATATCATAACTGCACATCTTAAATCTCAGTAACATGCATAAATATCTCACAGTTCCCTTGATATGAATGCCGGAAATTTCTTCAACCATTCTGTCATGAATATATGCATATGAATTGCTGCAAAAAAAAAAAGGAAGGCTAAGCTTCAGCTATTTGGTAGGATTAAATACAACTAATGCTTGATCATGACATCTTTGTTATTTTTTTCTTTTACCACTTTTTTGCAGCACCACTAAGAGATCTATGCTACAGAGGACAAAGGAGATGAAGTGGTAAATTCATTCTCTTTAATACTATTATTCTAAACATATTATTATAATCAACTCTTTCATATACTACAGAGCATATCTTTATTCCAAGATTCTGAATTTCTTTAAAGACCTCGACTGATACACACTGATATGCTAGATGTTGCAAGATTTTTCGCTGTCATTCTTACACATCGAGTGATAGAGTGAGTGAAAATTCTCAAAAGACCAGTTTTTTCAGTTGCCAAGGAGCAATATAAGTTGACATGTTGTATTATGCACTTGAGAATATCTTAAAATCTAGTAATAGAAGAAAAATAGTATTTTCTAATCTTTATCTCAGAAGATTAGTCAAATAGACGTTTCTTACGATCAAGTTAGATCATAACATTCTTCACTTTCATGTTTGGATAATATAATTTTCTACCTATCAATGTAGTATCCTTGCCCTTACCCTGAGTTATCTTATCTTGAATTGAATTGCTGGTAAGTTTTAATAATGACCTTAAACTTTTACCAACACAATTTTATATTCTATGGTTGATCAACTTTTGTTGAACGCTCGAGGCTCCTCCCTCCTTCGTTGTTTCTCCATCTAAAGTGGACCTTTTGATAATTAAGTTTTTCCCTAAAATCATTAAACTTTCATCTATTTACACTTTCGTAGACAGTTTATCGCCTTTTTATCATTAGTTTTGGATCTGGATTTTAGGTCCAGTAGAGAGTAATTACGATATCTCTTGATTAAAGCACCCTAACAAAGATTCAAGTATGGACCATTTGTCCCACTGTTATGTTTTCTCTTTTCTATACTTCTCTCATCAATCTCCCTTATGTATATGGATTAAGTTAGGTCAATCAGGGAAGGAAATAGGACAACACTTCAATCTCGAATAAAGGGCATTATTTAGCTTTTGAAGCATAGTTATTAAAATTAAAAATTTCAGAACAGGGACACTTTTGCAATCTCTCTATTCCTTTACCCAATATTACACCTTGATGGGTAGCTAAGAATTCTTTTTCGGGATAGCTTACTATCAAACACTTAGCCACAAACTGAAAGAAGCAATGTATCTTATTATTGAAGAAAAAATATGAAACTAATTTTCATGACGACAAACAACAATAGATGTATAGCTAATACTTAAAAATCATGCACCTAGATGTCCATTTCCATACATGCAATGAGCAAATCAAAAAAATTTCTTACATGCATGTAGAGAATAAACAAGAATCTACCCAAAAGAACAGAAAAAACTAACTTACAATCAAAAAAGTGTGATTTACAAACAAATTTCACCAAAAGAAAGAGGGAACGATTTCTACTACTCAACAGCAACAACTAACATCAAATACTCATTATCAAATTTGATCAACACACTCAAAGTTTAACCCAAAAGTTGACCTGCAAAAACAATTGAACATATAAATCAAGTGGTATAAGAGAAAAACATAAAGCACTTAAATAAACCACTGTGTAATTAGGGGAATATATGATCTCAAAAGTGAAGAGAGAGAGAAGATCATAGGGAGTGATTTATGGGTAGGTAATAAAAGATAATATAGGTGTTCTACATATTCAGTGTACACGCGTCTCTACGAATTCCTAATTAAATAGAAAAGTAATTTACATTTACCGAAATTCAATGTAAAAACATTACCTGCACACAATAGTTTAGGAATCTTTGTTTGAAGTCGGAATTTGGTTCCCACACTTCAAATCTGCAATGAACCCAAATAGAAGAGGATAAAATCAGCAAGCAAAAATCAAACAGGAAGAAAACTCACCAGAAAGAGGGAAAGAAAAAGCAGAAGAAAGATGGAGCGAGAATTTGGGTCTTCAAATTGTTACCTTAGTATTTGGAACCAGAAAGTGCAATGAGCGCAAAAAAAAAACGTATTACCTTAGTATTTGGGTCTTCAAATTGTTTCTCCGATCTTCATTTGTAACCTTTGCACAACAAGTTTACCTAAGCCCTTCAAAGGATACAAACCCTTTGCACAAAATCTTAGTTTCTCAGATTCATTCTGCACTTAATCAAACTAAACCTCAGAAAAATCTAAATTAAAAGAGGACTGAGAGTTTTTCAGGGCATCGGAGAGAGGGATGGGGGTATCGGATTTTTTAGAGAGAGGGAGATGGGGGAATCGGCGATTTTGAAGAGGAAGGAGAAGATTCTTGCAGAAGAAGAAGGTTTTCCAGTGAAGAAGAAGGTTGTGGCATTGGGGATATCGTGGCGTTGGGTATACACAGAACTATAATACAAATGTTTTGTTATTTAATATTTAGGTTATTAAAATTATTAAAAAACTAAATAAATAGGGGATATTTGGCGAGTTAACAAAAATTCAGGGGGGAAATAAAGAGGGAAAAAATAACCGTTCCAATAGCTATTTTTACTAAAGATGCATTCCAGTAGATTGTTTTATTGGGACAGTTTATATGACCGTTGCTTTAGATAAATCTATGGCAACGGTTATTTTACTATTGCAACGGTTTATAGTTAAAGTGTGCTAGTATCACTTAGATGCTACTATAACGGTTGTAACCGTTACCATACATGATCTATGGCAACAGTTCTTGAACCGTTGCTAAAATTACTGTTCCCATAGACCCATTTTCTGGTAGTGTAACGAGCGATTTGAGATCCTATAGGCATGCTCTCTAAACCGTATTAACAAGAAGAGAGAGAGAGTCGTTGAAAATTAGTTCAGAACAGTATTAGTCAAACTGATTTTAAACTAGACTGGATTCAGATCCTATAGGCATGATCTCTACTATTGCTGAATGTTAATTCCTATAGACATGATATCTAGACGAACATGAAATGAAGCAGGAAGGGTTTACCTGAGAATCCTATAGGCATGATTTCTATGGAGAAATACTGATTTTAATCTTATGAGCATGATGTCTGATTGTAACCATTTAGATCCTAGGAGCATGGTGTCTAAGTGTGGTAATAAACATGCAGAATTTGGGACAAGTCCAATAGGCATGTTATCTAAATGCATAATTAAACATGCGCTCTAAAAATTCTATAGGCATATTATCTAAATGCTGAATTAATCATACAAAAGCAGGTCCTGTAGGCATGTTCTCTACCCTTTTAATAGTTAAACATGCATAATTACCCAGCCCTTTTCACTAACCAGCCCCAATGTTCATTACAAATTATTACAGATCAAATACTGAATTACATCATAAAAGTGTGAAAATAAGAAGTTACAACCGTAGGAAGCCTGATTCTGACTTCCTCTCTGAGATATGGAACAAATCACCTCAAATGCCACTTGTTTCAAAAACTTTCTCAGACCTGGGTGTGTCAAAGTTCCCTAAGGGTCTCAAAGGACCCCGGGCAGTGATTACACCCAAGTTTGCATAACCAGATAGAGATGAGTGCAGTGTGGAAGGACCAACCCTTATGTGTCCAAGTTCAGAGGGAGCTCATGGGTCCCAAGGCAAGGCTCACACAAGAGGGGCAGAACCTAAGTCTAAGAATATGGTGGAAGTGTAGGAATAGAGATTTAAAACTGAGTGGAGAACAGAGGGGGCTAGGGTGATGGGAAAGTAGTAGTAAAGCACAAAATCAGCATCTTCATACAAAAGGGCGGTCAGGGGTTTGGTAATACATTGCAAGGAGCATATGTCCTTAGGCAGGGATCAAGTTTGGGCATGCACAGCAATAGATGGTGCTGGCATGCCCATAATTCAACCAGAACACACAACATATAGAGGGGATATGGGGGTTATGACTCCAGGGGGGGGTCAGGTTTGGGCCATGCACAGCAATGTCCAATGCTGTCATGCCCCAAACCAACCAAAGATACCAAACACATAGGGGATATGGCGGTTTAGGACTCATAAGTCATAATAATTGACTGACAGAATTCATACACAAGAAAGCTTTGATTCAGAATAGCAAAGGCAGATTACAGCATGCTTAGTAATGGAACTTGATTAAACACAAGCAGGAAACAAACAAGGGTGAAGGAAAAATAAAGAGACATGTTGTTATTGATGCTGAAATTTAGTTAGAACATACCAGTAAAGATGCAAATGCAGAAAAAAGTAAGCAAGCTTCCCACAGCCTAGCCTTGGCTTTCAGCCGGCTAGGTAAGGCAGTAACACAAGTAGCAACAGAGAAAAGAGAGAGTTTTAGCGGAGTGTATGTTTTGAACTCAAGTATTTTATTCCTTGTGTTCGTGTGTTTGAAAGAGGAGGGGTGCAGGGTATTTATAGCCTTTTGAAAACGAGTGAAGGAGAGGTAACAAGTAAAATCTTAGTGCAAATATGGAAACAATCAGTCAGAATCAATTATACAAGCGATTCCCTTTAACTATGGAATCACTGTTTAACGGATTCAAAATAAGGAAGGAAATCAATTTAGAGACAGCCTGATTATTTCCATAAAAGAAGTAGTAAGAACATTAAGTAAGCAATCGAGTCTAAGTGCAGGAATATACTTATTTTGGAAATAGATTCAACAAGGTAAATATTAGAATAAAGGGAAGGGAATCAATCAATTCTAAACAGGCGAGTAAAATCATGGTTCATAAAAGAAAAGTTCTGAAATCAGTCCCAAGATTAAAGATCAATCAAAGAATGAACTTCAGCATATAAATAGAGTGAACGAACACTAGACATGCGAGGCCAAACCTATTGGCAAAAGAAACAGCATACAATCGTAGCACAAGGTTTAGTCGATAGCAAACATTCGAAGCATAATAATCAAGTAGGTCAAGTCACATTGAATCAATAGTGAAGAAAAATAGAGTATCAGAAGCATGCAAAGGGTCTCACAGTAGCAGATGAGAAAACCTTTTGAAAAGTTAGGGTTTCAAGCATAATCGAGTTTTAAAGATAGTAAAAACCCAGGATCAGAGGAATCACATAAAGAAAAGAGATTCTAAAACAAGGAACTTCAAATCGAGCCAAGTATTCAAACGAACCGTTTCAAACCCAAAGACATAGGTTCTTTTCAACAATAGTCGAGCTTAAAAGATGATAAGCAAATAAATCGAACAAGAACTTAACCAAATAAGCACTTATCTAACAAACAGCTTCAGAACTCGAATGAGACCCAGAAGAAATTAGGGTTTCCAACATACCAACTCATATAGAAGAACGACATGAGCAAAACATAGCAAAATCAGAAACACGTTAAAATCAGAAAAGAGGTTTCCAAATAATTTAAAAAGAAAAACCTTAATCGGAAAAGATGAAGAGTCACTTTGAAAGAAAAGTCAAAGAGAGTTCAAGAAGCACCTAAAAAAAGTTCATGTAAAGCATAGATCTAAGGTAGATTTGAAAGAAATCAAGAAAGTCTTAGAGATTAGGGTTTCAGAAAAACCCAAGAGCAACGAGAAAGGCCTTGAAAGTTACTGATCTAAACAGGAGAGTCAAAGGTCTGACTCAAATGGCCATGGCTGGCCGGAGAAAGGTCAGGGATGACTGGAGAAAGGTCATCAAGCAAAGACTGGACCAAATCCCTTCAAAGTCTCGTCATGAGACCACAAAACCAAACACATAGAAGCCATGGAAGGCCGGTACAGGTCTCAGATGACCCTGGAGCCATGGATTAGGGTGGATTAGGGTGGAGGCGGCTAGGGTTTGGGTGGTGTTGTAGAGAGAATCTAGGAGAGGAGGGATTCAAAGGCGGCGTGTGGTAACAAATGAAAGGTTTGGGGGTAGTTCGGGATTAATTAAGGCAAGGTGTTATAGTGGCCGTTGATCTGAATGATCAACGGCCTAGATTAGAAGGGGTAGGTGGGTCGGTCTATGAAATTGGGTTTGGCCGGTTTAATTTGCAGTTGGGTCGGGGTTCAATTGGGGTCAGAATTGGGTTATAATTGAAATAAAATTAGGCCATTATTTAAATAGCCAATTTTCCCTATTTAATTTATAAAAAATAATAAATTAATTTCTGGAAATAAATTGAAGTAAATGATTTATGATACATAATTAGCCATTTAAAAATACAGGCCTTAATCTCTATGAATATAAATGTAATTAATCCTAAAAGAGGCTAATGTTGCAATTATACAATTTAGCCTTTAAAAATACTAAGTAAAATTTGTAAAAATATGCAAAAAATCATCTTGGCTTTATTTTAGAATAAATATTAAATTTCAACAAGTGAATCACCCAAGTGATAATTTTAGAAATTATTATTGGATTTTTATGGATAAAAGAGGGGAATAAATCGATTTAAAAATCTTTAAAAATTAAGAAAAAATAATGGAACACTTGGATATACTTATATATGCATACACATGCTATTTTGAAGGTACTTTGCAAATTAAAGTATATATCGGGAAAAATTGGGGGCAACAAAAGACAATTACAAAGAAATCTACAGCCGGCAGAGGGAGAGGTGCAGATCTCTCTGAGACAAGCTCATATATCCCATCTAGGGAAGCATCAGAGGGTAACTCAGCCTCTGTTCAAGAACACTCGGCCGTACATTCAAGGCCACAAGGGAGATATCAACTCATGGACAAGTCGTCCTTATCTCATAGCACTTCCGAGGGGTCGGAAAGTGCTAGTTAGGCTTCTGAGCCATTGACTACTTCTGTCCATCAGGCACAAGAAACAACCATTCAGGACATCCCCGATGATGGAAGAGGGGGAGATGCTGCAGCTACCGGGCTTGAAAGAACAAAGAAGAAAGAGGTCTGGGAGGACCAATTTGTCAGCCTGGCAGCTTTCACTAGCTTCCGCATACGGACCCGAGTCAAAATGAGACTCACTTGCCAATTTCACGGGCAGTCTTGGTTGCTTATATTATGGCCGGGGACCCTATCAATGTGGGTGTGGTGATGTCGGCCAATATCTTAGTGATCGCCCGGCAGGATGACTCTTCCTACCCATATCACAACGCTATTACAGAGTATCTTACGGATGCGAGGGTGGAACTAAGGGATTTTTATACAAAGGTGAAGCCGAAGAAGCCTTTCTCTCGGTACTCACTTATGGATGCGAACAAACCAAAAAGGAAATTTTAGCCTTCTGCCACCACAGGCCAGTCTGATGAGCCAGTCGTGGTAGTTGTCGAGATAGATGATTTTCCATCCACGTCAGCCGAGCACTCATCCAGTGTTGTAGCGCTGCCTCCACCATCAACTATAGTCCTTACTCCAATCCCTGCCACTGCTCCCATTTCAGCTTTGAAGCCGGTGCCCATGCCTACTACTTTCTACGATGCGAGTCTCCTAGACATTGGGGTGCCTCAACAACTGGATGCAGATAGCCACTGCAAAGCT